AGGCTCCTCCTCGACCTTCTTTTCCTTAGGCTTCTTTTCTTTGGTAGCTTTGGGGGCGGTGGCAGCGGCCTTTTGCTTCTTTGCTTCGAACTTGGCCTGTTTCTCGGCCTTCTTTCGTTCTTTTTCCACTGCGAAACCATGTCAGGGGATGCACCCAAAACTGTCAATGGACTGCGTATTACATACACTCCTTCTCAGTCTTCACCTTGGGCGCACCGGCGGCGGCTGCTGCGCTGGCATCTTGACCTGTAGCATGCGCACCGGCCGCAGACTCGACAATCTCCTTCTTCTCCGCGGCGGGAACGGCTGGAGGAGTGCTGGTAGCGTCCTGGATGCCCTCGCTGGCGGCGACTATGATGTTATGATTAGCATCAGCATTCGTTATTATGTACGGAGGGCTGTAACGAACTTGGGTTTCCTCGTCCACTGTTGGTCGCCATATTTACTCGCGTGGTTGTTAAGGGTCGGCTTGCTCTTGGGGAAACAGATCGCACCCTCAGTGCTCGAACCGCGAGTCTAAACGTCGTGCCGGAGATGACTGAATGAAGCCCGTAACTTGAGGGCTTCAAGCAATGACCTGCACCTCGAATTGATATAGGTAGATGTTGTGTGACTCTTACCAGCTCAGCTACAGCACTGCAATTTCGAGGATTGAGTCACCCGCTTCTGATGGTGGGGGATAACTTTTAGTTACTACCTACCTTAGTAGTTCGTTCATGGAGGGGTACAGGAAGTGTGGCGCAGCAGCATTAACATTGATATGATTCAGAGGTAGGTACTAAGTTACCATGTCAAATCAAATCAAACCAAATCATTAGAAATGATCCGGACGCAGCTCATCTCATGTGACACGTCAATTGATTGTACTCATCTTCATTTGATGACTCTTTTCTCACACCAACGATATCGGACCACCATGTTTCGTAAAATGTGGCGCAGCAGCTCACTAGCCACAAGCGCTCAACTCAGCCAACGAAGTCAAGTGCCTGAGCTTGATGTCGTCTTAGACTACCTAACTACCTACCTGTTAAGTGCCTCCCTAGGTATGCAATAACTTGAGCCGAAATTACTCCAAAGGCCAATGTTAAAGCATCTACTCTAACCTGACGTATTTGGTGTAGCCGGTCTTTGAATTCTGTCCCAATGGCCTTACGGCTAGCACTGAGAGCCCCCAGGAGCCGTCTCTACAACTGCATTTCGACCACAACTAGGAGAGTCTACTCAACAAGTAAACAATCGGATTACTTCACTGTTGAGCTGAGTCCGAAGATCAAAGTGAGATCTTGAACAAGAAGAATTTTCGACTTTGCTGACCCTCCAAAGGATCCCTCAAGGCTATTACAAGCCGTCAGATCTCAGATAAACATTACCAATCCTAGCCGCCACGATGCAGCAGTTATACTGGTAACTCCACAGTATGCGCAATGGCTAGGCAAAAATGTCTTCATGTCTGAGTTTGTAGATATGCTGTCAGGTTCTGATGGGACTGGCGAGTTCCATACTCTGAGCGCTGTTGTTGACCACATCGCCCCGCCAGTGCCGAACAACAAACCCATCCAAGGCATATCTGTCCTCCGTGGCAACCTCGACGGTATCCTACCAGGACTATGGACAGAGGCGCCCCCAAAGGAATGGTCGGACGGTGGGAAGGTGTCAGCTCTAACGATGGATCTTGGCAGCCCGCATGTCACTATCCCTCTTACCAACACCACTTTTCAGAACCACAGGACCTCGACACTTATTATTAGCCGTTACGACTTGTCGACTGGCTCTCCGAAACTTATTGAGCAAACTGACAAAAAGCATTTGCAGAAAGTAGCCATTCCTGTTCAGAAAAAGCTCTCGTCAATCAACGACCTTGGTATCTGGGCCCCCCTCGTGCCTTTGACTCACCCCCGTGTGGTAACCGAGAGCTTTGGTAATATCGTACGGCGAGTCGACATTGAAGACGAGTCAGTTCCAGCATCGACTGAGCTCGAACCAGCAGTGGACGACCTCCATGCCAGCAAATCGGACTTGGTTCAGTCTCCTATGGGTATTTGGGCAATGATCACACCTCCAACTTTTGTTCAGTCGGGGGGCAGCTCGCCCTATGTCAATCCGGATCCCGAGGCAACATTCGCCGATGGTCAAAGCATCACGGAGCTAACGGCTGTGACCTCTGACCAATTGGGTATCCTGTATAGGCAAGGGGGTAGATTGTATCAAGTCTGTAAGCAAAACTGCCAGCCCCATGTGCCCGATTCCATCTTTTAACAGCTTTCAGTGAGTGGTGGCGGTGGTTGGGGGGCAAAGAAGGGTTTGCTGTCGCTTGACCCCGAGCAAACTCACTTTGTTGTATCTGAAGAAGAAGAGATGCAAAGGTTCATCCAAGCTATGGAAGGGGGCAACTTTGTCCCTGTGAGTTCCAAAATCCAGTTCTTTGCATCAACGGATGCTTCTGCTGGAGAGCCACTTGGAAAAAAACAAACCGGTGTGGTGTTTGGAACATCCAGCAAGCTCGAGGTCGAAACTGATGTGAATCCTTCTCGACCTGAGGCACGCTTGTTGGAAAATCATTTCGGCGCTCTCTCCAGCGTAGGTATCTTTGTAACCTCGTCCGATGCTTCCATGTTTTCGAAACCTGGGTTCAACAACGACTGGAAACTCAACGTGCCTGACTCTCGGATATATGTTGTATAGGCCAGCAAGGAGTTGATGGTCCTCATTGGTGGTGGTTGTCGTATGTGTAATAAAAATGTACAAGTACCCCTCCTAACGACTGGAAGTGGCTATATGTGTACCTATGTAAGTAGTATTCTAGCTGCGTTTGTTTAATGCGGTCTTTGCTTCTTGTGTAATCCTTCCGCTGCCGCCTTGGCGACATCATCCAGCGTTGTTCCCCTCTTTCTCTTGCCTATCTTCTCGTTTCCAAGTACTTCATTCTCCGCAATATCCTTATAGACACTCGCGGCACCCATGAGCATCTTTTTATCCCAGCCGGCTTCCTCATAGAAAGTGAGGGCGATCTCCTCCATCTCTCGCACCCAGCGATACGCCTTGGGTGGCATGCCGGGGACGCTCTTTTCAGCGTTGGCAAGCGTGGCTGGATAAAATGTACCAATCTCATCTTTAAGAGCGTCCAAGATGCCAAGATTATGGGCCGTCGTGAACGATTGAGTGGCAATGGCGGTAAATCCCTTTGAAAGGGAAGCAAAGCACATTTTGAGGCCACTTGCAGCGCCGATGTCAGGAGAGATTTGCTTCATGTTGAGAACAGACACCAGTTTCTTTCCAAAGGGGAGCGAGCCAAAACCATCCGAGCCTGATATAGGAATGCTAGGACGGTACCAGCCAGAAGAATCGTCACTGCTTGATGATTCTGTTGCGGCATTTGTAGGTGTCTTCTTGGGGGGGTGCCCAAGAATGCTCCCGTCAACGAATCGTATCGGCAGATTTGATCTCTTAACAGATGCCGCAATGGCCTTGACCGTGGAGGGCGCAACAGCATTGAGATCGACAAAGTAAAGCTCTCTCGTAGTGTCCAAGCCTGCTAACGCATCTGTAATACGAGTGGCTGTTGCCCCTGCGTCTTTAGGCGGCACAATGGAGAGTATAACGGAACTCTGTCTGACCAGATCAACATCAGACTTGAGGAGCTCAACTTCTGCGTCACGCGCTCGCTCGATGGTATCTTTGCTGGAGGGATCTTTAGCAGACATTTCATCCTCCTTGCTTGATTCATCAATCACCTTCTGCCAGAGATATTGGTTGCAACAGTGAAACCGTTGGCAACTAGTAGTTTTGCAATGCCGACTCCCATATCGCCAATAGACAGTAGTCCGATTTTGGGCAGAGATTCGACGGTGGCTGACATCTTATGATTGATAATCAATACAAGTTGAGCGTTATGCGTTGACTTGAGTAAATATGTGAGAAGGAGATAGATTGACGCGGGGAACTAGTATTAGGGAGTTGCTAGAAGAGCCAAAGCGTACAATTTACTGATCCATATTACCTAACGTTCGAATAAATGGCGAAATCTATTCGCTTTATGCATAGGTAGTTATCAATGAATACCTATACTGCTGCTGTTTAGCAGGAGCAGATATTAAAAATTGCGGACAGTTGACAAACAACATCTCGGATCTCGACTTCCTAGCTTCTCATCCAAGATGCTCTAAAAGGCAACGAAACTTCAAGTGATAGAAACCCGTATCAAAAGATTACCGGCCCCGCCAAATGGGCGACAGAGTACTTGTAGGTAGGCATATTGCCAACTTCACTTGAATATTACGGGGCATATTTCAGGTACTTACTATATAGTCTAGGCGAGCCAACAAGATGCTACGAGATTTGCTTACACTGACTGCATCGAGATTCGAGATCGTCTGGTTAGTACGTGGATGCAGAAATGGAAGTGTCGAAGATGGGAGAGAGGTGAGTGCGGGGCTTCTATTTCGAACGATACAGTGCTTTGTTATCCTTTTGATACTTGTGAGGCATTGATTGATCAACGGAGGATGGATTATAATTAGTGGGCTATGGGCGTTTATGCCATCCGTATATGTACCTAGATCGGTAGGCACTTTTGTAGTAAGTAGTTAAGTAGGTCATACTCACGACCGTTTTCAAAATCATTAGCCTGGCTACCTTACGTTACGTTCCGTGGAAATGGAAATGGAATGAATGGTTTCGAATGAACCGAGGCCCGTCTGCACAGCGACAAGTCGTTTCTTGTGGTCAAGGTCGACGTCACTCTTCAAGGATCCCACCCTGTTTCTGGTGTCGCGGGGAGCCATTCATGGCCCGATTCGATTCGCCTCTGAAGACATAAAGCACATGATGACGAACCTTTGACAGGCTATCGAGGCTATTGTATAGATTAGACCAGACCGTCACTGAAGATACATGATCACATAGAATCGAAACTCGTAATGCAAACTATTCATTATCGACCAAAACCCAACAAGTTCATCGATCATTTCCAGCACGTCGACAACATCAACTGACAGCCCATGATGTTCTCTTCTCCTCAACATCAGCATGATAATGCATCGGCATCCTCATCCAGAACTACTAGATCATCACAAGACAAACGCAACGACAAGAACACGGAGACTACTCCAGCTTCAAACCCTCGGCAGCCAGACGAAATCGAAGAAGCTGATACGACAGTACCAGTAAAGACGTATCAACCAAAGCAGAAGCAGAAAAGAGATGAATCGCCATCTGGCAAAGATACCGACGATGCCGAGAGTGTATATCTATCATCCGACGAAGAAGACACCTCAGATGAAGACACCTCAGACTATGACTCGGACTCAGAAGGTAGCGTGGAAGAGCTGCCTCCTCGGCAACTGTCGAGGAGAGCAACAGATCGAGGTGTAAAAACAACTCATGGGTCGCCATTTACAATCACTCAGACAACAAGCGAAACTACTCGCTGGGTATCAACACAGAACAATGGAGGCTTGATGCGAGGGGCCAGAACTGTCAACCAGCAGACAACATTGCATGGACACAACGTCAATGGACCACAGCAGCAAAGACCGAGCAACAGGAACAGTATCAGCTTCAACATGAGCGTCAATGTTGACATGTCCTTCAACGGCCTCGTCACAGGCCGAAACCTGGGCTTCACAGGGGTAGGCAACCTGCCATGAGTTTCTTTCCCCTTTTGTTTCCAACTCAATCGAAACGTTACTAACAATGACAGGGGTCACTATCATACGCATGGAGCCGGCGCAACACGCAAGGGGGTTGATGTCTTCTCTTTTCATGTGGACTGTTTGACTACAGGCGACCAAATTATTATTGACAACTTCGAAGGTGGGATTTTAGGTGCAAGGCGCTAAACATTCTGGTGTTGTACATAGTTGTGAGTGAACATGACAGATATCAAAGTCAAGTATCATGGCAACAAAGCTACTCGATCATGTCGATATCGTCGGTCGCAGCCTGAGCCTGAGTCTGCGCAGGTGCCTGTGTTTGAGCAGTGGGTGCAATTTGCTGGTCAGTAGGCTCTGCGGCCTGCGCGTTGTCACCGCCGCCAAAGTAGTCCGCCATCTCTGCATCCAGCTCCTCCTGTGTCTTCTTCCCGCGAGGGTTGCCTCGTCCGCCCTCCTGATCTCTGCCCCCATCTCTACCATCGCGGCGAGCTCCAGGGCGACGACCACCTTGACCGCGGCCCCGACCACCTTGTCGCGGCATTGGGCTGCGGCGAGGACCCTGACCGGGAACATATCTGTCGATTCCTCTGCGGGCAGCATCGTCGTCATCATACCGGCGATGGGGGGAATGGGATCTTCGTTCCCCCGGACTCGAGATTCGCTCTGCCAGTGGACGGCCGGGCATAACGGCGGTATCAAATGGGTTTCGCGAGGGTAGCAGAGTTAATCGAATGGGTTGGCCTGGTTCCTGTCAGCCGGGTTGCACAATCCGGCAAGACTTTTCACTCACCATTGGCATTGGCACCGTCAAATTGTTTGACCGCCTCCTGAGCGTCCTCCTTCAGTTCGTACGTCACGTAAGCAGTCCCCTCGGATCGCCCAGCACGATCGTACCGTAGCTGAAGGCGAACAACTGGGCCAATTCTTCGAAATAGCTCCTATATGCCTGTGAGCTGCTGTGTAGTAATTCCAGCCATGTCATCCACCTACATCCAGGTCTTCCTCAGTGAGGTCATAGTGAATGTTGTCAACTCTGAGCTTGGCGCCCTTGGACTCCCTATTGTGCACAAGGTTAGGGAGCTCGCGATTGTTGATAGGGTGCGACTCACTGGTCGGGGGATTCGCGGCGGCGGCGAGGAGCAGGAGCTCGGCGATTGTCTGGATAGCTGTTAAAATAGCATCCTGGGCAGGAAAGGGTTTCCAAGAATTACTGTTCTCTTCGAATCGGTCATGGACCCATTCGCTGTGTACGGTTAGCAAGCGAGAGGAGTAGAAAGGCAAGATTTTGACTAACCTATCAAGGTTTCGTGAATCGTCGCGAGCGGACTGCAAGTGGGAGGGACGCTCTGGTCAGCAATGGATTTTCAGAGTGGAAAGCCGTTCAATCGACAAAAGCCCCGAGCACCGAAAGGACGAGTTGCGAGGAGGGTTGTACAGGTCGAGTTGGCATCATTGGAGGGCGAGGGAAGTCAACCTGCACCGCCGACGTCAACAAAGACTCATGGAGAAGGCCGAGTTGCCGTCTGAGGAGAAACCAACCTTTCTAACACCATCGCGAGGGTAGTCATTACGGGGTTCACGTCGGCGACCTTGGCCACGGGGGTTGCGAGGTCGATTGGCGCGCTGCGAAAAAGAAAAGTCAGCCTGTGTTGGTTGGTTGATGCGAGACGGGGGCGCGTTCATGTCATGTACTGCACGCGGGAGACGGTATGAAAGGATAGGAGGGAGATGAAAAAGACGTACAGTATCAGCGATGATCTCATCAAGACCGCGATCCATCTTGTCAGCCATGTTTGCGTATATTTGCTGCGAAGCTTGACAGAATCCGCGATGAATTTGGTAAGTTGAAGTTGAAATTTGAGAGAAGAGGCCGTGTTGCTAGACAAAGTTGGGCCAAGGTTGTCTACCTACGCACATGCGAAGGATGGACTGGATGTCATGGGTGGGTGCCACAAATCAAGGCCCCAAGCCACAATCTGGGCGTTGAATCGTGGTGGAGCCTCTATTATTAGTGCGACAATACGAGGAAGCGTTTCTCAACTCCGTACAAGTAAGTACGAAGTACTTGATAATGATATTGTTGGGTTTCGGGCCATCGACCATGAGAATTTTCCAATAGAAGCAGTCAAGGGACTCGCAAATATTGCTGCTATCCATTAATTACTTATCAAGTATCATACCGTCAGCTTGATCGGAACAAGACCATTGCTGGAGGGCCTCGACGAAGCCGGGCTCTTTTTAAACTTCACTTCACTAGAAGGTCGTGGATGAAATGTGCAAAACCTCGAATCCTCACTGATAATGAAATGATCTCAAAGGTGTAAGCGGATTACGGCCTCAGCTCTCAAATACGATGATACTTTCCAGAGTCAAGGTCTCTCCAACGGGAGCCTCCAGATCACAAAGTATCTTGTCAGCTTGTGTCTGCATGGATAGGTGCCCAGGTTCCTTGGTGCTACTGGGATTCACCGATGGGACGGGTCTCCACGCTAGACCTGTTCTGGGACATCAGCCAACTGAACCCTTCTGTCGCTGTGTCTTCAGTTAATTATCCCTTTGGAGGCCAGAGAACCACTTCGTATTCCTGTCATATTGCCCCTTCGCTCAGTCTCGTCTGCTACGTCCGTTTCTTCTTTTCCTCTTGTCTGTCTTATACCTCTTCAAAGGCTACAATTGAGAGTTGAGCAGTTTATACGAATTTATCCAAACCCCCTATCACTTACTTATTCCTGAGCTGTCCCTCGCGGCGCATCCCGAAACAGCTTCAACATTTGATCAATTTGATGCCCTCGACTTCCTCCCGATAGCTGGTGTTGTCGCACTCTCTGGCATACCCGAACACTTCGCCGCATCTCAGGCGTATTAACACAGCTCTCATGGCCCGACCCATGGGGGCGGTTCGTCTCAAGAAGACGAATCCCTTGACCCTCGCGCTCGGAGCGATTCTGTGCATCTTCATCATCGTCTTCCTCGTCTCCCCGTCGGGCAAATCCGCAACCGCTCGCCGATTCGAGTCTATAACTGCAGAACATCATCTCTCGCCACCGACTTCACCGTACCGAAAGTCAAAATCCCGATCTGGCGTACCGCTCAAGCCACCACCCGTTGTGCACTACAACCTTAACAATGTCACCATTACGACTTCGCCCATCGCGAACCGAGAAAATGTCCTCATCTTGACCCCCATGTCTCGATTCTACCCCGGCTACTGGGACAATCTTTTGCGCCTGACCTATCCTCATGAACTTATCACGTTGGGGTTCATCCTACCCAAGACCAAGGAGGGTAACCAAGCCACCACCGAACTCCAAGAACACATCCACAAGACACAGAAGCATGGCCGTGAGGGCGACAGATTCAAGAGCATCATCATTCTTCGTCAAGATTTTGATCCTGCTATCGTTTCGCAGGATGAAGCCGAGCGCCACAAGCTTAAAAACCAGAAGGCCCGTCGCGAGGTTATGTCCAAGGCCCGGAATTCACTGCTGTTCACGACTCTCGGACCCGACACCTCCTGGGTCCTGTGGCTAGACGCCGACATCATTGAGACTCCTACAACCCTGATCCAGGATCTCGCCTCGTTTGATAAGCCGCTCATTGTCCCAAACTGCTTCCAGCGATATTACGACGAGGAACATAAGCAAATGGCCGAGCGGCCATACGATTTTAACAGCTGGCAAGACAGCGAAACAGCGCTGGCACTCGCTGCCAAGATGGGACCCGACGAAATTCTTCTCGAGGGCTACGCTGAAATGCCAACATATCGAATGCTTATGGCATACCTGGCTGTCGAGGGCGGTGACCGTAATCTGGTCATCCCACTTGATGGAGTTGGAGGTACTGCCCTTCTAGTCAAGGCAGATGTGCATCGCGATGGTGCCATGTTCCCTCCCTTCCCCTTCTACCATCTTATTGAGACTGAGGGATTCGCCAAAATGGCTAAGCGATTAGGCTGGCAACCATATGGTCTTCCCAATTACAAGGTCGGTCATTTCTCTGCTACAATGAACACCTGGCACTAATGACTTTCTACGACAGGTCTATCACTATAACGAATAACGTTGCCACGCCGTCACGAGGGCAACATGATCCATCCCTTTTGGCGGCTCCTGTTTTCTGGTTCTTGTGCCAAGAAGACAAGCATGCTGCTCTGGGATTAGGACTTTGAGTAGTTGCTTTATACACATTGTTGGGCAAATTCACGATTCAATTTGGGCGGGTACAGGTCATGGCGTTAATAGTGCATCCTCTGAACATTTGTTCTGAAACAGAGGGGAATGGAAGCCTTGTTGCCAGAAGAAAAAAAAGAAAAAGAAAGAAAAGGAAAAGCATCGCAATAGCTTCAGGGAAGATATCGTGCCTTGCTAAAGATGTGCATAATTGTATTGGCTTACAAATTTCCGTAAGAACATTCGGGCATGGAATACCTAGGTACCTTTGATCGGCATGTTCGAGTGCGCGTGTTAAGCTGTTCAAATACAAGTTTTGAGGTCATTCTCAAATAAGTTGTCCTCTCGTGGATGTTGTTGCTCAATTGAGTTTGTATTTGCAATATTATTACTGAGAATCATGCGATACCGCTCGAACAATAAATTCATCAACATCCGTAAACCCAATCTGGCATCCAACTTCCTACCACCTACCTAGGTATATCAATGAACTTCTCATACGAATCAAAACTCCATAACGCACCCCTTAAATTCAAGCGCGCCCACCATCTTCAACCGGTGCAAACTCCACAAGTAGCCAACATTTCAAGGCCCCTCATATCGCCCATCAGAATCCCGACACCAAAACTCGACTAGCTTCCTCGTACCAAGCACATCGCCGGAGCGTAACAGGGCCGCAACATCGACGTTAAGTGGGCTATCAGTCTCAGGGCAGCCCAGCAACATGCGCACGGCTCGAACACACTCCAAGACACTATACGCAGGTGTCCATGCGTCCTTGAGCAGGTCGAGGCAGATCTCGCCAGTTTGTAGGGCAATATTCGGGTGAACAATGGGCGTGACGAACGTCATCTTTGGTGGTGCGAGGGGGTAAGTCGATGGGATAGAAATATTGATGAGCCAGCGCCCCTCTGCAAGATGTTAGTAGGTGAGGATGGCAAGATCAAAAGTTGAGCTGACCATCGTAGCCGTGGCCTATATCTCGTCCATTGATGACGGCCTCCCACTCCATCAAGTCACCCTCGTTGACTGGCCCAAGACGTTCGATGCCCTTCTCTTCCTTTTGCTCTGTGCTCCATGTATCCAGCTCCTTTATCAGTCGTCGACTTGCGCTTCGCGACGCAGCGGCTGAGTTTGATGATGACGGTGGCATTGCTTTGGCTGAATGCGATATCAGGGGCCAGGCGAGTAGTTTATACACGTTATGAGTCCAAAGGGTTTGGGTGAGATACTTGAAGATGGAGTTGGAGCCAGAGTCGGAGTCGGAGTTGGGGATGCGGACGAATTTACAGCTGCCCTGGTCTGGGGTCGTGACTTATTTCGTCACGTTTAAGGTAACCTAGCTGTTGAGCTGGACTCCCCTCGGCATGCCCAGCTGGCGACTTATTACAGGGGTAAGGTACCTAGGTCGGCCAGAGCCGAGGGATGCTCTCCTGGGACCCCGTGGGTACTTGTCTGGCCTGGGAAAGGACTGCCCAACCTTAGGTACCTGAGAGGCTAGCCCACGTAAGGACTAGACCTGGGTACTAAGGTACTAGGCCCCTGGCTCCGGACTACCTAGGCCAGTGGCTGGGGCAGCGTGGCTCAATCTTCGTTTCTAACGACCCCTTTCATGTGAAAATGCCTTTTTACACAATGTCGTGACCTTGCCCATGTTCAACAACGAAGATTTAAGAGATGGACATACCTTAGCCCGGCAAAACTAATTGATAGGTAGTCTACAAATACTGAATAAAGACGTGGACTTTCTAGAACAGGGGGATAATTTTCTCCTTTAGTCTAGCATTATAACTCTTTACTTTTTCCTTCGCCCACCATTCGCCGCAGGCTTTCGCTTGGACGTGGATGATGAAGCAGAAGTACGAGGCGGATTTCTCCTGACTGGCTCGGGCCTAGAAGGCTCAGGAGATGATTCCTCAACGACAATCTGAGCTCCACTGCCAACATCGTCACTAGATGTCGTCTCTACTGATGCTTCTCTTTCCTCATCAGACTCATCCTCGCTCTCGCTCTCTTCCTCGCTTGACCCGTTGATTTGACGAGATCCCCGTGATGAACGCTGAGCCCCTGAGAACTGTCTCCATGACCCAGCTGGACTAGAGGCCTGGGCGCCTGGAACCTGGAACTGGAAGGGATCGAGGGGAGCTTGACTCGAGTTCCTACCCCGACGAACAATCACTGAGCTATCAGAAGGCTGACGGCTATTAGAAGGGGCCCTCACTCGACTTTGAGGTCTTTGCGACGAGGTCCCTGAGCGTGGTCGGCCGGCTGTCGCTGGCGGTGGGAAATAGCCCATAGAAGGTCGCGACGGACGGTCTTGATCCTCGGCAAGGTTGCTGTTAGAAGAAGATTGCCGGGCTCGCGACTGTGTGCGTGGTTGACTAGAGACTGGGGGTGCTTTCTTTTTGCGCGATGACGGCTCCAGCTGGGTGAGAGGCACAGCGACTCGCTGGTCTTTACGCTTCTTGCCGCTCTTCTTCTTCGCTGCCTCGTCTCTCTTTCGTCGTCGCTCCAGGGCACCCATTTCTTCCTCGTTGAGATCAACATCTGTTCTTCCTTTGGCCTTTGCACGCTCGATTCTGTGCATTGCCGACTGGACCAGTGCTTCCTCCCGATCGCGAACAGCCAGTTCAGCAAGATACTGTTCAAACTCCTCATCCTCACTGCTCTCACTGTCATCCTCCGAGTCCTCCGAATCCTGATAATCACCCCTTCGTACCAAGCCCCGTTCGCGATTACCCAAATCTATTCCCGTAAACCGAAGAGAATCGCTAGCAAAGCGGGTGCCTGAGCTGGCACCAACACCTCGTGCATCCTCATCTGAATCCAACTCCTCCACGCGAACGTCTCTTCCTTGACGTCCGCGAGACGCAGAGTCCCCGTCTGTTCTCCTCCGACTGCGCCTCGATGGTCTTCCCCATTGGGGCGCGAATTCGGGAGATTGCGGCCGACCACCTAGACCGCCTCCCCGGAAAAAGCCTCATCGATGGGCTTGTCCAAAAATGCAGCGTGACCGAGGATGGTCACGCCAGATGCGCCAATGAGCCAGAGCAGGGTAGTGAAAGGTGAAGCAATCAGACCCAGGGGAACGGCGACGCAAACGAGTGCAGTATAAAGCTGCGAGCAAGAAGCACGGAAAGTGCCAATCTCGAGATCATGGCCATCGAGCTTGCCAATGAACCACATGCCGACAACTACAAGGATGATGTCGAAGAGCAGCAACCAGTTTGTGAGCAGGGCATAAATGCTCAGCATAACAAAGATAACAGCATAGTTGCTGGAATAGTGGCTCAAGTTGTAGTTGACGCGCGACTGCATCTCGACAAAGTTGGCAGGCTTAGAGAGACGCTTGAAGTCGAGAAACTCGCCAACGGGTCTCAAGTTGGAGAAGCGTCCGCTGAGGGGTCCAGATCGAAGGCCCTGGAAGCGATCGCCGAAGTTGAGGCGGGACGTGATAACGTCGAGAGGGATCTGAATGCGAGACATGATGGCTGGTTCGTGCAGTGAACTCTCGTAGAAAGGGGTTGATGTTGTTGGCGTGGAAAGAGTATAGACAGCCTAGTGAATCGAGTGGATGGATGCTTTTATGGCCTCGGAGTGTAGGCAACAGAATTATTGATCCGGACGAGTGACGAAAGGCAATTGCGTGTTCAATGTGAAAGAATGGATCCTCTGGTGAGGAGCTGAGTGAAGAAATCAGAAGTTAGCGCAACGAAAAGTGATAATGAATGCGGGTTCAGGCAGCAGAGAAAAGTTGAGGACAAGTTGGCAGAAAGAAATAACACATGTTAAGGGGATGGGATACGAGGCGCAGGCTCTAATCAAAGGAGAAGCCACAAACTGACGAAAAGGATAACTATGGTATCTGGGTAAAAAGGGGGTAAACATACCGAGACGCAGTTTTCCAGTTTTCTTAGCAGCGAATTCGAAAAGGCTTGGAGTCCAAGAATGAACGGAATGTTGCAAGATTAATTGCACTGCGATGTTGGGAGAAGGGGTAGTTTATAGGTAAGGAGGTAGGTAATTTGTTGTTCTGTACAGAGTACCTATGCACATCCAGTGATAAACTGGTACTGTCCAGATTACCGACAAGATTGGCTGTCTTTTTTAGGGGACAACTCTTTTTTTCTCCGAGACGTGATTTGCTAGAGGGACGCGTCTCCTGTCAGCTTGGACTTCCTCGCTTCAGGGCCAGAACTGGCTGATCTCCACATGGAACTGATGGAAGGGATATCTCAAAAAAGGTACGTACCTCGGAATGGGATCTGCCCCAAAGGTGAAGGTGAAGGTGAAGGATGAGGCGGTGATGGAAGGAATTCGATATGTACGAAATATTCGGTCAGGGAGATGAACCAGTAAAGGTTGTTGATCTCCAGCCAGTTTCAAACTGGGCTGGCAGCCCGCAACAATGCCTCTCCCTTCCGAAAGACAGAGAGAGAGAGAGGCTCGACGAGTATATTTGAGCACAACTCTTGTCGTCTTCTCCTCTCCAACCCAAACAGATGAGGTTTTACTGGAGAAGGGCCATATCAATGACTGACCTAGAAGAGAAGAAGGAGAGAAAGGGAGAGGAAAGACGAGGGAAGAAGAAAACTAAATACAAAGGCTACCTTACCTTACCTACTTGCTATACCTAGGTACTAGGTAGCTCCGCATTTTTCTTGCTTCACTTTTAGGTTGATACCTTACCTTGAAATATCCAGGAATAAAAATAAACAAACAAAAGAGCCCAATCACGCACGACACGATCAGCATTGGATCGAATTGCACACCGCAACCTTCTCTTCTTTCCTCTTCCGCTGGGATCGGATGGGGACTTGGCCATTACGGGAGCTTGCTTGCTTGTAGCTCGTACAGCTAAAAACCGGGTTGTAACTTTTTTTTTCTTCCGGCTACTGACTGTCCTCTCCAAACAACGCAAATGCAGAGCAGAGTAGAGCAGAGAGGGGCCTCACGCTTATGCACGCGACACCAGTTGCAGCAAGCCAAGTGGAAGGCGAGGCGTCACCGCTACTGATGTGTGCCTCAGCATCTTTCTCGTTGTTCCTCCGGATGAGAAGAAACTACTAACCTACCCAACTACCTAGGTAGTACCTAGACTAAGTTTTCTGGCAAGTTGGTCTAGATTGTTGTCAACTTTTTCACATTATTATTATCTAGTACTTTATTATTAGACGAGTATCCCAATCATTTGAGTGTAGAAAGTAACACAGCCTTTGAGAGGGGGTACCTAGGTACCCAGGTTTTACAGATGGATACCATACTTGTATGGATGCAATACAACTCAGGCCATATGTACTGGTATCAGTCAGACCAGCCCACTTCCGCAGAATTGGATCTCTCTCCATTGTATCGTTACACGATCCAACCATCATGATCCACGATCTATCTGTAGATCCACCCAATGCATGCCACTCTGCCACTCCAACCTCGAAGCTCCATTGGAAACCGTTCCGAGTTGCCCAAGCCACTTCTACCTTACTTTTCCATGTATTACCTATGTACCGTCCTAGCAATCCAATGTTGATCGAAAGATTGAGACTAACTTTGAGGTGTTTGGCATGCTTGTAAGTCGATATATCACAACGAAAGAGAGAGAGAGAGAAAAAAAACCAATCCTGTGAGAACTAGTAATTCCTGCAAGTTACAACCTACCTAGGTACCTAGCCTAGAGCCCCATGTACGGAGTACTGACACCTAGCCTCCCAGTCCTTGTCAGATCCTTCATCTGGAGTCCTGGACTTGCTCCTAGCAATGTACGGAGCAGGGCCCATCAATCCATTGCCGACCCCCGTACCCCCGGACCGCTTCCTTGGCTTGTCTCCGAATCGGCCTGAAGCCGAACCGTTCTACATTAGTAAGGTAGTTCGGCCATTCAACCCCTCCCCTCCACGACAGCTGAACTGATCACCGTTGCATGAGTGACCGCCATCTGAGATGAGAATCAAGATGAGATCCTTTTCCTTCCGAACTGAGGCCATAATAAAAAGTAGCAAACTTTACGACAAGATCAAAATCAGCATATGCCATCAAATAATATGCCGATTTCGTACCTTTTACATAGGCCATATGTCAAGATATCATATTTTAGGATATATGTAAACTAAGTAATGAGCCATGCGGATGCTATGCTATAATCATGATAAGGCATGAATTATTCGGCAACATGCCCAAAGTTAATGCCTCACTTATATCTGATATGTTCTTCTTCCAGCTGCATTGAGCTTGTCCAAACAACGCTCGCTATGCCTGTCTCTATTGGCCTTGCCGCGCAACGATATGGGGTATATTTATGAATCGCCAAACACAAACGAACATGACAAAAGAGAGAAAAAACACGTTCAACCACCTTAAGCGCTCACACCTCGAAAAAGTAATCCTCATCAAGACCATCCCGGCTCGGTATCACTCCAGCTCCGGGCTCCGGGCCGTCAAATGCTGTGTCCATTCGGACATTCAATAGTCGGATTTTGAGCCCATACTCGCTCACCAGATTCACAAGCTTGTTGGTCTCCGCGGTTATAGGTGCTTGGTTCAGTAGCATCAAGAGTCCGTCCAGCCATTCCGAGGCCAGGCTGTGGCTCAGTGGCCACAAAGTAAATATGGGCTGCTCCTTGCTGTCCGTTCCCCTTGCCGCCTCCGTTGCGTTGACGAAACTGTAGACGGTGATCTTGGTTGTTGTCTTGGGAGTTGCATCCTTGCCCATAAAACCACTCATGGTGCTCCGGGTGTCTTCGTTGGGCGCCGAAACATTGGATACAACAGAGCTGATAGTACTGAGATCAACCTTTTCACCCAATGAATCCAAGCTGGGCGCCGTTATTGTCTTTTCCTCGAAGTCGGCGTAGTGTAGATACCGTCGGTTATGAGAGAGTTTTGCATATCGCCAAGGGGTAGGTGTGAATAGTCTGTGCTTCACTGCGCCATTGTCACGCTTAGGCGTCGGCTTTGAGAACCAAGATCCTTGTAGAAGGCATCGAATTCGCTGCTCCTTGACGAATTGCAGAGCCTCTTGTTTCAGCTCTTCTCTCACCTGTTGTAGGTGCTGACCCCATGTGCTCTCAAACGACATTTCCAACAGACCCATTTGCTGCTCCCGCAGTCGCGGTACGTCGTACTCCTGCATCTCTTCTTCCACCTCGGCCACATCCTTGGTCCTTGTAGCTCCTCCGACGACGCAGTCGATCAGAATTCTAACCAGCTCGACCACCTTTTCAAAGTCACCCTGTTCCGCGCCAGTGAGTTTCCAGACACGGAAAAAAGTGTACAAGCCGGCAGTGTGTAGCCGAGACCACTGGAGCAGCAGAGGCCTGAATAATCTGTCGTGATCTTTGGCCTCCAATAACTGGTAGCCCCTAACATCATCCAGATCCGTCTTGTCCACGTCGAAGTGGTCGTACAGTATCATCGTCACAGCGAAACTGGCCCTGGCCACGGGACAGCGCTCAGGTGTAGGCCTCCCTGCCTGTTCGAGCAGCAGCTTCTGAAATCCATCCTCATTTCTGCGAACATAGTCGGTCAGGTCCATCATACCCAAGAAGCCAGTCATATCGAATTCCTGTGCAGGACTCTCTGTCTCGAAACCTAGTCTCCTCCACTTTTCGGGATTGTGACGCCTGCTGCCCTTCTTCCCTGGAGCCTCGTGCGACTCTTGTCCGGGGGAATGTCCGTTTACGTGAGCTCGATCCGGTGCACTCGCCAGATGCAGTCCCTTGAGAGCCCTTCGGTGCTCCGGTCGCTCAAGATCAACATCGACTTCGCGCCATTTTCTCAATAGAATTTTGGTCAGCGTTTGAAACTCCAGCATGGGATGTGCCAGGTCCTGAAGCGCAGAACTCTGCATGAGCCTGTGAACCGCCTTGATAAGCCCCAAGTCTTGTAGCCGCTTGATGAACTTGGCCCAATCCTCTCCTGAACCTGCGTTGGCCTTTCCACCATTTGCTGCACTCTCGCCCGATACGGCGTCTCGGATCAGGGCATTGATCAACATCAGTGCATTGGCACACAGGGCATGATCTGCGCTCTGCAGCTGCTGTATAACCAGCTCGAAGAAGTTCGGGTGCACAGCCACGGCGGGTTTCAGGGCGCGGAAGCCAAAGGTTCCTGGTGTTCGGTTCGCGGCATCACTTTGGTTGGTAGACTGGGAATGACCAACAAGTGCGACCAAGATGGACATGGCTCCTCTGAGGATGTTGACCAGAGGGTTTGTAACGATCAATTCGACGACACGCTCGACGAGATCGCTTGCGGTTGGGCCCTCAAAGACATCCCATCCCATATCAACTTCCAACAATCGGGTGAGACTCTGAAGAGAGTATGCGAGGGTGTTGCCAGCAGATGTCATGATGAGTCGGCGGAGGACGACTAGGCCGCCCGAGGATATGAAAACGTCGGCAAATGCTGGATCATTAATCGAGTTTTGCAGTTTAAATACTGCCATCTTGCGCGAAGCATCTTCATCACTCGCCATTCGCGCCAGCAGCGCGGGGATGTCTGCTTGATCCATGGTCGAGGTATTGGTCCTTTGGGTAAACAAACAGAGACGGGGGACAACAAAGACCTTATAATATTGCTATCATTGCCTGGTGATGCATATCAACAGAACAGTTGTATATGTTTCATGTGTGAGTTATGTCGTATGGTTGAGAGTACAGGAGCAGGAGGTCCCTTTGGCTGCGATTGCGTTTCGTCCCCTTAACCTTAACGAAGGTCCCAAACAAAGACCCTGTCGAAATTAAACCAATTGCCAGAAACTGTTTGGGGAAGCTCTCCACACTAAAACTTGGACTTTAGCCTCTCGGAGCTCTTCAGGAGAGGCTTGCGTCTCAGGCTGATGAGAAGGCTTGGAAGGGTATTGAACAACCCTGTCAGAAGAATGGCGCTAGCTTTTAGTCAGGTGCTTGTAAATCTGTGGCGAGCACCGCAGGCTTATCAAGCCACAGAATGGATGGAAGGCTGGAGTCTTCCACCGCACGTGAGAAGGTACGTACCTCGACAAGCATCTTCGACGCCTCCAATTGATTTCCATACCTATTCGATCTCCAATCCTTTCCAAGCCTTCATCAACTTGCTGTCGCCTCATTTGTCTATTGTCCACCAGAACCGCAACAATGGCCAATTTTCTTGCCTCAATCTTCGGTACAGAACTTGACAAGGTCAACTGCTCTTTCTACTTCGTAAGTCCCTGAAACGCGTCTCAGTTGCAAGTCCAAGATTACTGACTCTGTCCGCGCTTATGCAGAAAATCGGTGCTTGCCGTCATGGCGATCGCTGCTCGCGAAAACACGTCAAGCCTTCCTACAGCCAGACGATCCTGATGCCCAACCTCTACCAGAACCCGGCTTACGATCCTAAAAATCGAATGAATCCGTCTCAACTGCAGAACCACTTCGATGCCTTCTACGAGGATATCTGGTGTGAGCTTTGCAAATACGGCGAACTGGAGGAGCTTGTTGTTTGCGACAACAACAATGATCGTAAGTCGTCCTCTTGCCCAAGCTCTCTGTAGTTTTTCGACGCTAACTTTGAATAGACTTGATTGGCAACGTCTACGCCCGCTTCAAGTACGAAGAGTCAGCCCAGAAGGCTTGCGATGAGCTCAACAGTCGATGGTATGCCGCGCGCCCGATATACTGCGAATTAAGCCCTGTCACCGACTTCCGCGAGGCTTGTTGCCGACTTAACTCTGGAGAAGGTTGCGTTCGAGGAGGCTTCTGCAACTTCATTCACAGAAAGAACCCTAGCGAAGAACTCGATCGCGATCTGACTTTGAGCACAAAGAAGTGGCTAAAGGAGCGTGGCCGCGATGAGAAGAGCGCGTCTCGCTCACCTACACCTGAACCCGCAAGACGTCGCTACTAGCGGCTTGCGTACTCGTACTGAGTGGTAAAGGGCCTTGGATGGGAAGAAATGCAATACGGATGGCACGGTCACGGCGTTATAGGGGCTGGGGATTTGTTCTAATAGTTTTTATGTAAGGATTCTTGGGCGATTCAACCATTACGGATACCCCTCCCTTCATCAAATACATCTCAAAAAGTATATTGCAGTAGTCACCTGGCGGAGGCCGGTGTTGAAACCCTTCTGACTCTTTGTAAACCCACGGAGAATGCAAAACTCCGTGTATAACTAATCCCGATGCGCGCCGATGTTGATGTAGCCTGCCTGTCCCCTGCTTCCGTCTTAGTCCAACTGTTCCAAGGCAAAGTCAGTCCTCACTGCCTCGTCCCATATCTAAGAGATAACCACTGTTCATTTCCTCATCGCGTTTTATTGTTGTGTGGCAGACGGTAGATCCTTTTTCAGGTCGTTTGTGAAGTCAATCAGCGGTCCATCGGCTTTCTTTCCCGTGGAGCTGAGCAAGCCTTGGATCTCAGATTGTTTTGTTCCTTGTTCAGCAGCGGGGGTCTGATCCGGCTTAGCAGGCGGAGGTATCTCGTCAAAGTTGATCAGGTTATCGTCAATATGATTTTCTACCGGTTGAGCTGATGCTGTTTGCGCAGGCTTGGCAGAAGGGCTGTGCGGTGGGATGACGTTTCGTTGGTTCGACTTTTGTCCTTTGATGATGGGATAGATTGCCATAATTTGCTCGGCTTGCTTCTCGGGCGTCGCAGCGTGGTCACTTGATACGCGTTAGTGAAATGCCAACTACGTTAATGTGCCAGCACTTACATATTGGCGTTAATGACCCATTCCAGATCTTCTTCGCCTTCTTCTAATCCACCGGGACCACCTTGGACTCTCCTGAAAAGTCGTGGGTGCCACTCGATGTTTTCCTGTGCTCGTTGGGCAGCTTCTTCACGTTGTCGGTCTTCGATCTTGGTCTTCTCGTCTGTGGCAAGTTCATGGTTGCGGTCCTTGACAGCTCTAGCCGTCTTGTCCCACAGCCGCTGAGACTCTCGTTCCTCTTGCTCCTCGATTGGTCGCACAGTTGGTGGCGAGGGCTTCGATCTCAGAGCGTTGAAGAACATCTCTCGGTGGCCAGTCTAATAATATCAGCTAAAAATGAGCCTGTCTTGTAAATAAGCGTACCAACCGTCATGTCTTTGATGTACATCTCCTCGCTCCAGAGGCCAGAGAGCTCGAACAAGACCTCGCCAGTGCTCTCCCGCTTGATCACTCCGCCAATGGCATTATAAGTACCGCCGACCCAGCCTTTTGTTTTGAAGTCGACATCAGCAACCAGGTCGAGTTCGGGGCATCGGACAAAGCTATGATCGCCAAGCTCGTACTTCATTTTGCCAAACAGAATGCCTCGGGCATACATGTTGGGTTGGGTGAGAATACTGCATCCTGTTAGAGTATATACGAGGGGAAATGAGCTGCAGAGCCACATAGCAATGCAGGAGTTGAGTGCGTTGGGCCAACATACTATTGCTCCCCCTTTGCAGCGTCCTTTCCGCGGTTCAGCAAACTCAGAAATGCAATGCCCTCCATCAGACTGGCGGCAGAATTTCCCAGGAAACGACTCCGAGGCTTAAGAGTTCCGTCAATACGAATATGGTGGTCTGGGGCCATGTAGAAGTAACTCGACTTGGGTGGGTGGTGGGAAGTCTGTTCAGAGATGTAATATGCGCGCTTTCCATCCTCAAAATCCCAGTAGCAGGTGAATATCTCACCCAGGATAGGGTTCAGGGGTTTCTTGACGCCTCTACAGATTGTCAGTAACAGGCGCATTGACATCATCAACAACGGGTAAAAACTCACGGAGGACGAATATGCCAACCACTGAGGTAGAACTTGACTACGGATACAAAGCGCTCGACGGGGTCGTCTATGGATGGAATCTGAAGGAGCATTTCGGGGTGGCACATGAAGCTGCAGCCAACAAGTTAACCTCTGGTTTTCATGACTTAGACAGGGGATTTCACTTCGTGATGCGCTCGAGCATACTGCGGGGTTCGAGAATGAAGGTGGGAAGAACGACACGACTCAGATCGGCCCCGGGTCGCAGTTGAGAGATGATATGGGAGAGGACTTGAATACATCACGATGGTCAGTCCAAGGTCGAAAGGCTGAGGCGGTCGGTTTGAGTCGCAATCGCACCGTTACTGCGAAAGTCGACGCAACCTGCAACGAAGGAGGGGCTCACCATTGCCCTGATCGGGCTCCATCACTAGGGTGTCATCCTCAGCGTCGGGACCACGAGGGTCATCGGTAGAGGAGCGAGTGCCTGCAGGTTGCGAGAACCAGTTTGTCAACATAGCGACTCTTCAGCGGCCAAGAAGAAAGAAAAAAGAATATTTTTTTTTCCCAAGAAAAATATAGGGATTTTGGAGGGGTGCAGATTTGGGAGGGGCAAGAACAGGACTCGATCAATAACTAGAAGGTCAGGGATAGGGACAGGGACGGAGGATTCGGATTTGCTGAGTGGGGATCCAATGTGAAAGGATGTGGGTGAGAGAGCGCTTGAACCGAATAGAGAACAGAACAGAACAGAGCAGAGGGGGGCGTGCCCTTCACTAGAGCTCCAAGCTACCAAGAACTATGGATGCCGGCACTGCAGCGTCTGGGTGACGTCTTGAACAAGGGAGACACCAACGCAAATTCAGTGTAGCGGGGGTAAGATTCCCCGGAGTCGATTGCGCATTGAAGCCGTCACAAGAGGTTCCGGTTCTTTATAGGACGAGAAAGAGGATAGGCAAACTCACTGGCGGTGCTGCCGGTCCTGCGGCGTCCATGAGAGACAAGACCCATGACCATTGTTTCTTGCTGCGACAGGCTGCTGCCTAGGTAGGGACGTTGGTTTGCGAACGATTTCGTTTGCTAAGGCTCTCAAAGAATGTCGGTATGGGACACAACCAGATGAACAACGTACGGGACCACAGTCCTTTATCAGAGGCGCAAATCGAGCTTTGTTGGGCAGGGTGCGGGGGCCTTTATATGATGTAGTTAGGTAGACAGGAAGTCACAACAGTCATAGAGCTCAAGTGGAGCTTGAGAAATAGCGATATCGTTTGCGAGCGGTGGTTGAATGGAGGTGATGAAGTGAGAATAATTGCTATGGAGTTTGAGCGGGTTGGTATTGAATTGGATTGGACTGGACTGGATGGAGAGAAAAGGATATGGAGGAAAGACGAGGCAGTCAGTCACCAAAGATTAGATATCTGGGCAAGTAGGTAAGGTAGGTAGCTATGGCAATGACGGAACGGATGGCCCGGTATTGACAAAAACGGTCTTGAGATGACCAGAGTGACGCCAGGGGAGGATGGGCACTGAAAGAAAGGATCACGTTTCTGAACAACCTTCCAAGGCAGATTAGCATCACGTAGGTAGGTAGGCGTAGGCGTAGGCACCTAGGTAGGTAGTTACCTAGGTAGTGGAGGTGCCTGGTGATGGCAAGTGGCGGTATCAACCATTTGAGCAGCCTGCAGGCATCGAGAATAAAGACTCCCGTAGGTGCCTACATACTACGGATACCTACCTATAATAAAGATCCAATCATTTCCATGAATCAATCAGGCAATCCGTCAGATCTGCCCCGCGATGGAGAAGGATTGTCTTTGCGTTGACCAGGAAGTGGGGGGCTGATGTCTGCCCTGACTGCCAAGGAATAACCCTGAAGAGTAAACATGTCCCCAATGGAATCTTTCATGAGGTCTATTTGTTTAGGATGTATAATTCCCTACCCGTGTATCCGTAGGTAGGGTCTATATGAGTATTTCCCCTCTTAACTACCTAGTGCCTGTCGTAAAAGATTGTAGCATAGGAGTCGAGTTGATGAACATTCTGGTGTCACAAGCTGAACCTCACTGGAGCTAACAGGGAGCTTGGCTTACCTACCTAGCTTGAACTACCTACGTCAGAGCCATGAGCTCACACACACCGCCCGACCATTCCAGCCCCGCGAGAACTTCACGCAATCGAATCAGTGCTGACTGTACTACAGTGAATGATATCATCCACGCTACACTGGAGGGAGATCTAACAAGTACCTATCTACCGACCCAAAGAATGTTCAGAACGACGTCCGTTAATAATAAATTGCTCGTAGGTTACGTATAAATCAGCGCCTCACCGTATAAGTGGGTGAGCGATTAATTAAATAGCCAAATGGCTACCATCTCACATGTCAAGACTACGTACATAGTAAGGTAGGTACTAATGTATAAACGAATCCAGTCAACAGCCTGATACTCCAAGCTACCTCACCTACTAACCTTGCCTTAGGTACTCCGTATGCTCGCTCGTATTGTAATGATACGAAACGCCTGGCCCAATCATGACGGTAGCTATCAAGCTTCGGCCCCACTCGGCCCGGGTCCCTCTAGACCCTTTCTTCTTAAGGCTGAGGCTCCTCCGGGCTTGGGCGGATGCAGTAATTAAAAGTCTCCTAACGGTGCAGCATAATTCACCGACAGTATTTTAATATTGTTGTCTCTAGCGACTGACTGCTTGTCTACCAGTCCATAAGAGTACCTATGACCTGCTCTCGGTTGCTCTATTTCTCGGTACCATCCAAGCCATAATGGACGATACATCTACTCGTAGAGTGGTCTATCTACCTCCGGTTCTGACTCCCTCTCCTCTTGGTATTCAATGATATGATAGAACATTCCCACCTAAAAAATAAAATAGAACAAAATGGAAGCAATTCCGCTTGCTTTGGGTGATGATTCGCCGAGGCCGGCTCTTCCGACCAGATCAAACTGAGGTATTATCGTGTTCGAGCCAACCCATCAATCATTCCAGATTTGCTTGGGGCTTTATTTCAAATATAGCCCATATACAAGTCCAACTCCTTTCGTTCTCGCGATTTCGGCTTCTCAATGTCTCCGTCGTCCGGGAGTACCGATCTAATTCGACCCGTTGCTCTAGCTGTTCAATCAGGTACGGGTTTCGGACTCCTGTGGTACCCCGGACCTCCGATTTGTCTTCCTAGCGGCAATCGAGCTACCGCGATATTCCTTACTCATTGACAGTTCCGTTCTGGGTATAAAGAATCTCATCCAGGCCTTTTATTCGATCTCAGGGACGCATGCATCTCACTGCCATGCTCTTCAATGACGATTCACTTCTTTTTTGAACCTTTGATTGGTGCCGGTAAGCACTGTGCCAGCGCGTCTCGGTCTGTTCATTGTCAGCATTATCCAAGTTATTGTTCACTCTATTCACTGACCTGACTCGTTCTCAAACAAAATCGAAATGTCATCATGCTCGCCTGGTAAATCTGGTAGGTCAAGGCAGACAAAAGCCATGTCGTCGTAGTCACCGTCTTTGTCTGCCGGTAGTCGTGGTAGAGGGAACTTGGCGTCAACAAACTTAATACCACATTTGCTACTTCGCTGTACACTTTCATAAACGTCGGTCCCCTTCAACAGGAAGTTCATGCAGTGGCCATGATGGAAATCCTCAAAGAAGGCCAGTAGCTGCAACTGTTTGTCTTCCTGTCGAATAACCTGGATTCGGGTGTATCCTGCTTCCCATTTTTTGTGAATTGGTACAACCATACGACGTCGCTGGATCGCAAATGTGACTGCAAGGGCATCGAAGATCACCTCGAATCCTGTCATTGCATATTGGAAATCATGCAGGTCCTTCAAGTTATTGAACTCGAACGTTCGGATCGTTTGGTTGTGTCGCAGCAGCTGCAATGCATCAGACATGTTCCTGGGAAGCTCTTTCGGCACCTGCGCCTCAGATACCGAGATAGTCATGTCTTTTTGTGGTTGCCGAAGAACTCGAAAGACTTTAGCGTTGCTCACTTCCAGCCTAACACGTAACTCCCCAGGTGCCACGTTGATGCGATCAGCAACATTACCATTCTGGTAGTCTATTACAACTTTGAGGTGATCGGCCAATACTGTCGGGGGCATCTCTCCGCCATACTCATCATTGACCACTCTCACGGCCTTCCAAGGCATGCGACTGAATGGAGCCATACCCAGCGGCTCGCGGAGACTTTGAGCCACAGAGAAGTTCTTGAGTGGCACGTCTGAGTAAATCTTCTCGTCATGATCCAGAGCTGTTCCGGTGAGAATCGAGTGAAACTTGATTCTTGCCTTGTCATCACTGAACACCATCACCATGCGGCCCTTGGATTTGCCATTCTCATACTTGATAGCCAAAGACGGAGCATCGCCATCACCGCGAAAGAATCCGAACTGGACAGGTTGAGCTGGGGAATAGACGTGCTGAACACCACTCAGTGTCCTTGTCTTTGGTCCAGTCACCACCGCGATTCGGAAACCAAGGTGCCATGTACGAGTGGCTGCCGGGCCGTTCTCCTTGTAAAGCTTCTCAAAAAGCGAGATCTCACAATATGGCGTTGGCTCCTTGGGGAATTGACGATAGTTGGGGTCTGCATCCATGACCTGGAACGACCGCAATGTTGACCTGAATACCATACTCTCATCACTTCGTGGGAAAAGGGAGTTGTTGACTTTGCTTCCGAAATCGTACATGTTCCACAGTGTTCTGAAATCTTGCTGAACGAGTTGAATGGTCAACATGAAGCCACGTCGTAATCGAATGTCGACGGTGCATGTTTCCTTTCGCCATCGCACATCGTCCCAGATTGGACCAATGTTCTTGTTCTCTTGAATAACAAGCTGCACGTGGCCGTTCTGGCTGGCGAGGATGAAAACAAGCCCGGTGGACTTCTGCGGGCGAACCATTGAGAGCAAACACGGAAAGTAAAGTTTTTGGTCTTCATGGCCTTGTTCCATAAGATAGGCATCAGCTGGCACTCTGCCATAGTTAAAGTTATCGGTAGTATCGCCCACGGGGAGAGAATCAAGAAGCCTCAACTTAGACATCGGGCTTGTCATCGCTGTGAGACCCGAAGCCCAGTTGCCAGAAAGAAGAGCAATCATGTCTTGGCTCAGAGGTGGGTACTCAACCCATATTGACTTGTCTATGCTCTGTGGTAGAAATGCATCTTCAGGGGGCAAGAAGCCGTTACGTTTCATAGACATGGCCAGCTTCTTAAGCGCTGAGACCAGACTCGTGCTCACGTCGTCGACTTCGGGATCAATTTCAATCCCCTGCGCTTGTGCAATTTCTGGAATTACAAGCTCGCAAAGCCAGAATGCTTTGGCCAAATTAGCATATGCCTGCTGGCGATCCCTGTCGTTTTGCATCTGGCCCTGAGGAGAATTGGGCCTTTCCCTGATTGCGACCTCCAAACCCATGCGACCTTTGAGAAACCACCATAGTGCGCCACGGCCAAAATCAATCAATGAACAGGTCGACAGAGGCTTCA